GGGGGGGGGGGGGGGGGGGGGGGGGGGGGGGGGGGGTTTGGCTAGTAGAAGTTATGAATGGCCGGTAACTTACAAAATGTAGTAGCCAAATTGGCTGGTGAGTGAAAAAGTTCATTTTAATCCCTGTATATACTGTATATATATATTGTGTGTGAGGGGGCCCCACACAGAACAGACCGGATTCATTCAAATTAAACTGCCAATATGCACACTGCCAAGATGCCATTTAGTTGATGGCATTTTTTGCCCGAAAATGAAATTATTAGGATTCATTTGGCCTTTAGATAAAAAATATGTAAATTTGGTAGAGTTTATCAGTATATGGATATTGTTCTTAAGGGGGGCTTCTTCCCCCATCTTACCCTTCTGTTAGTCAGTTCCACTTCTTGAACATGGTATGCATTTGTCATACTCAGAACTCCTTAAAAAAATCCAACCAAACCAAGAGACTATGCTGTTATTTTTGGTTATGATACCTTCTAGCCTTCTGAGCTCCATCTAGTGGTACTAGTGTTAGTAAGAGCAGTGGTTCTTAATCCTGGTCCTGGGGACCCCCTGCTCTGCACATATTGCATGTCTTACATTTTGGATTTTGGGTGGGGAGGGGGGTGCTGTTAAAGAATCTGATTCATCTTTTTTGTTTTTTTTTTACAGTGTGAATACTGTAAAACTGATTAGCCAAATTGTGAACATTTCATAAAATATATATAATTTTTTGGTTTTCAATGGTTCAAATATCATCAAAAAAACATTATGAGAGTTTTCTTATGAACATGGTTTGCCTTTGTCATACTCAGAACCAAACCAAGTCGGTTGGGGATTAAGAATCACTGAGTTAGAGATCTAGTAGCTGCAAGACATGAAGGTATAAATATTGTTATAGTCCACACAGTAATACGAAGTTAGCATTTCATACTTTTTAAAATTACTTTTAAAGTGAACAATTAAAATGTAATCAAAACAAATTACATTTTGGTGCAGAACACAAATAAATACATGTCTTTCAACTGTGTGCTAAAGTACTGATGGAAATTACCACAATGGTGAAAGTAAAACTTTATTTACAAAAATGATTTTTAAAATATATAACAGAGAAAAAAAAACAATAAAAATGTGAAATAAATTAACACTTATGCCACACTGAAAACTTGTTGCAGCACATACTGTAAATATCCAGATGCACACATACAAATATTTACAATAAAAGGTTATTCAGCTTTCAAATGGTTGAAACTGCAGCAGACTATCAAATCAATTCACATTTATTTCACATACCTACATACTTCTCTACAGTCTTTACCATGAGGAGAGAGATCAGATGGATCTTGAGGTGTTCCTGTTCTGTCACCCGTTCCTTTATCCTCTTCCTCCTCCTCGTCCTGTCGCTGCACAGATGAGAGATACTGCTCTAACAGACTGCCATCTTGACTGTCCCCCGTGGCTGCTGTCAGAGGCCCAAGAGAGCGCACTGTTTCTGGAGATCCAGTCGTGGCCGTGCTGCTCAGACTGTTGTCCAGTGCTGCCGGTCGCTCTCCAGGGGAATGAAAACCAGACTCAGGGATGGAGATCTCAGTGTGGATAGGAGTTGCTGCAGGAATGCTGGGATCTAATGCAGTACTCTTTGACACATTGAGCTGCTCGTTAACAGACGACTGCCACTCCAGCACGACCTGAAGCTGTTTGACAAAGAGCGCACACAGACAAAAGTGAAAATAGTCAATTTTGATGATTCACAGGCATTTTCGTGACTCATCATTCATTTCCCAGCTGAAGATGGCTTATAATAGTGGCCTTACTGTGATAACATTAGTAGTATTAGTTATGACCATATCTCATGGTCATCTTCATACTGACCTGCTTCCACAGGAACTTCACAGCTTCTTCTTGCACACGTCTCTGTAGTCTGTCTTCTTCTTGTTGCTTGCGCACCCTGCAAAACATACTAGTTACAGCAAAATACTTCACACTGTTTAAGCTTACGTTATTGTTGAAGTTGTTTTAGTGTGTTGAACTAATCAGAAAACAGTGATTCACAAATGTACCAGAATGATTCAGGACCATTAAGATAAAACTGCATCACTTTCCTTCCTTTACACCTTATGACCTGATGGGCAAACATATGATGTGTTGAACCGTGAAGTGTTTCACCTTTCCAGTTCTACGGTCAAGTGGACAATGTGATCCTGCATCCTACGCAAGCGGATCTCAGCACGCACTTCTTTGGCTTGTGGGTGGCAGTACCGCGTCCAGTGTCCCCTCCACCAAGACTGAATCCTTACAGCTGCATCATGTGGTTCACATTGTTCTACTTTACACTGCAGCACAGCAGCTTTCTGCATCCCAGTCCACTTTGAATCCTCCACAGTACCGTTCTGTAACCCAGCATCCCCATTAAATGCATGCTGCTGCCCGTTAATGTCGAAGCAGGCAGTTCTGTCAATGTGGTCAACATGATCTGATCCCTGTGTCAGAGTGAGGACAGCTCTATCTACTGACTCCTCCTTGGATGGGTGGTACTGAGTGGATGTGGGAGGAGCCAGAGAATCATCAAACTCCTCTTCACCGCTGTCAGGAGCTGAAGCAGGATGAACAGCAGTGTTAAAGGGCAGAAAAGCAGACTCGGAGGACAGCAGACTACCATGAAGCTTCTCCTCATCAGTATGCACATCCTCCAGAGTCATCATGTCTTCAGCAGCAGGTGGAAGCCGGGCAGCAGCAACTACGGGTGAAGATACAGAGTCCATCCACGTGTTTACCTGAACTCCTGGATCCACATCTATAATCATAATAGACAATGAATCACTACAGGAGAAAATGACATGAAAAACACAGAAGGGCAGATTCATTAATTCATCAGATTCCCTTTCACAGATATGCATCTATTTTTTATTATTATTTTTAAAACATGTACATTCCATTTAGTTTATACTTACCTTCTTTCATTTCAAACAGCCTCTGATTTACAATTTGGAAGCAAATTATTGTATACATTATACATTATCTGTGCAGTGTAAAAATCAACTAAATCAACAACTTTTTAAGCATTTAATTTAATAAATAATAGATTTGTTGGTTCGCAACAGTCAACCCGTGTTACAATCCTTATTGCTGTCTTCTGTAATGTATATTGGATTTATGTAGGTTTTATATGACCCCATACCTCCACACAGTAAGTAACGTATGGAACTATGAGTGAACAGTACAATATATATAATGAGGTTTGATTAAAAAAAAATGTGTGTTTAATACTGCAATAGATTCAGACACTTTTGTTTTCACATTATTTATATGTGGTATCCAGCATAATTTATGATCAACTATAACACCTAGAAATCTATTTTCATACACTCTTTTAAAACTAATTGTTCAATTTCCACTGTATTCAGAAGCTGTTCCAAATTTGTCCCTAAACAATATAAATTTGTGTCATCAGCAAACAGAACAATTTGTAATACTTTAGACACTTTAAAAATATCATTTATATACAGTACAAACAATTTGTAGCCTAGCACCAAAGCTTGTGGAAATACCACAAGAGACTTTCATTAAATCCGATTTAACATTACATATTTGTACAAACTGATAGCTGTCATCAAGGTAACTTCTTAACCAAGAGAAGGCTTTCGCTCTTATATCATATCTCTCCAGTATCATCATAAATAAACTGTGATCAATAGTGTCAAAAGCTTTTTTTAAATCTAGGATCAGCCCCACAGTATATTCATTATCATCCACTACAGTGGAAGTATCTTCTTCCATTGTGAATGACCTATTTGCTCCAAAGCCAAACTGATGTTAACTCAATAAATTATGTCTATTTATAAAATTATCAAGCCTGTGTACATATAATTTATCTTAAATTTTTGAGAACTGGGAAACAGAGAAATTGATCTGTAATTGGAAAAAATACATCCACTCCACTTTTTCTCCACTTTTAAAAATTTGAATCAGGCAATGATGCAAACTTGCCCATAAAAATATCCCTGATGCCAATGTGCACCGAAATTACATAGATGCAAATATATAAATGGAATCATTTTGTATGTGGAGTATGTGGAAAAATGCATACAGAAAGGAATCTGTGACCTCATTTAAACATTGGAGTCACGGTGCCATGTCAGCACTGCACCCACTAAACTGGACTGCAGTTTGCTGGTGAAAGAGATGCAGACATTTGTGCTGACAAAGGGTTTAGTGAATTCCTCCTTGAGTCTGTTATCTGACCTGCCTGAGCGATGACATCCCCGTCTTTGTTCTTGTGGATGCGCCTCTGCTGCACGTCTAGATGTGTGGGGCGAGATGGACTCGAGCAGCAGTGACGTGTTTGCTGCAGCTGTTTCTGATGCTGTCTGTAGACACACACATACTGATGATTAGTGCAGCTCCACCAATCAGGATTTGCTGTGGTTTAAATGGTTTGTTTTGGATGCTACCTTTGTTTGTTGAGGATTCGCTCAAGTTTAGCATCCTCTGCTGACTCCAAGGCAGTTGTGGCTGTCAGGGGACACGTGGATGCCAAATATTGGACCAGCTGTGCGTGCTGTCCGGGGTGAAACATACGACCTTTACCTTGACTGTAGAGCCATTCTCCTTTCAGTCTAGAGACATTGCAGAGTGTTGTCATTAGTAATGCAGCTGCTTTCTCAAGGTTACATATCGCATAAATCAGTGGTTTTCAAGTGGTGGTCAGTGTTTCCCACAGACATATACTCTATGTGTGGCGGCACAGAAAATTAGATTTTATCTGAATATGTAATGTCACTCACTGTCCGGGACCACGATTGTTATTTGAAAATGTTAACTTTAACGGAAGGAACCAGATTTGCCGACTCGTACACACTCACTCAATGGATGGACGATCTGACAGGAGTGGCCTGACACACCTACCAGATCAGAGCATGTATAGTAAATAGAAACTGAGAGCATGTAAATCTTTAGATGCCTATAACTATGTACTAACAGTGGCAAGTGTAAGCAAACGCAACTACTTGAACACACAACTGACACATAACATGGGCCTTCACTGTTCCCTCTGTCTACAATTGCACTTATGGCAATTGTAGAAAGTGAGATGACACAAACGGTTTCCTTTATGTTTAGCCTCTGGTCTTTAGTTAACTCGTTCCCCAATTTCTGATTAGGTGGGCATGCATGAGAAATATTTAGACTCAGAACCAAACCATAATCCATACCAACAAAAGACAATAGTTTATTTAACTTTAACTGATATTAAGTGTGCGCTGCAAATGTGAGCATTTTTGATGTTCGTTTCTGTCCAGTCCGCTCATTTTACGATTTAACCACAGCTTTCGTCATTTTGTTGTCTGGCAATGGCAGCAGGTATGCGATAAAATCATGTACTCCATCGATTCTGACACTTAAAGATAATATTTTAAGCTCCTTATGTAGCTGACTCTGTGCTCATTTGTATTGGCCGCCTCCAGTTATCCCTTTGTTTTGCCTCTAGATAATGCTGTGACGTAATTGTGACGTCGGCACTAAAAAGGTCTATAGGAAAGACAAAATGAAAATGACATCTAAGCTTTTCTAAAGAGAGTCAGTTCCGTTCAAAGATGCTTTTATATAAAAACACCCGCACCACGTTTTGATTTTTAAACATGCATTGCTCATGTTTATTCAACAAAGTCAAAGCCTTTTGGAAAATCTATTTGTGGTGGTCAGTTTTGGAAAATTAAAGGGTGGTGAAAATGGGGTTGAATAAACATATGTGACAGAAACTAAGGATATTTGTACACTACTTGAAATGCTAGATAATTGTTTAGAGGTTGGTGAAATCCCTCAGAACCAGGATATTAGATGGTCCGCAATTTTTTGTTGTATTGTTGATGTGGTGCACTAACTGAAAAAGTTTGAGACCAGCAAACAGCTAATGCTAACCCTGTAAAATTAGAAGAGTGCATTTCTTAAAGTACTGTCAAACGCAAAATGATAAGACAGTCTGTGCAAAATGATTTGTAGCACAACAGTAAAACACAGACAGACTGTAATTCTTGTACCGAAAAAGACATCTAACTTACCCCTCTTTTTGTGAAACCACATATCCATCCAGCTCCTTCAAACGGAGACACCAGCTCGCCACATACGGGCGATAATCACAGCCGGGCAGAGACGGTGTGGCCATGACGCATGGGTTACTCATGATGGACAGCTGCTCTAGGCTGTGAAATGGAGCTAAATATGACACCTGGAAGTGAGATACACAAAGAAAAAAACATTAAACAGTAACATCTACAAAACAAAATAAATGTATAGGGCTATTTATTTAAACTTTTAATCTACATAATTATAATTAAATAATAATGAATTACATTTTACAGTACAGCACTTCTGAGGAGAAAAGCCTTCAAAATGAAGATAATTCAAAGACATGACATCTAAAAGTACTGAACAAACACAAAGTGGCCAATATACTAGTGAATATGAATTGGTCACTGGTCTACGGTCCACATCAATCTCTTTCTGAAATAAATTTAAGAGTTGTTCAAACAGGTTGCTGTTGTATTGCATCTGTGCTATTTTCATAATGGTGGTCTGTGTAGATGTGCAGACTTTTGGCCATTCATTGTTTTTTAGTATTTCTTGTGTCACGATTTACATTTTTCAGACGTTGTGTTAAAATCCGAACGCATTCTGTGTGATCACTCTCCAGGGCTTAACAAAAGGTCCGGCAACCAAGTGAGATGTTGACATAACTTTTACTTGCTCTATTGTTTGTCACTGTACCTTGCATTTATTAATCATGTGTATGCCATGCAAACTTAAACATCTGATACTGTGTGATGAACACTGATATTGAGAATTATTCTAAATGAAATACATCACATAATGTAATCTAGATTTTGTTTAAAGGGGTCATATGATGCGATTTCAATTTTTCCTTTCTCTTTGGAGTATTACAAGCTCTTGGTGCATAAAGAAGATCTGTAAAGTTGCAAAGACTAAAGTCTCAAATCCAAAAGGATATTCTTTATAAAAGTTAAGAGTCAGCCACACCTACCTAAAACAGCTCGTTCTAACACGCCCCCACATATCTACATCACTATGTGGGAAGATTTGCATAACGCAGACCAAATGTTCACACAAAGTAAGAAGGTGCAACTTTTATTCTCGCTGTAGTATTGTTGTTGCACCACCATGTAGTGAAGGCGCTGTGTGTTCCGTTGTGAACGCGAAACTACTTTGTTTGGCCTTCCAAAAGAGGACGATATCTGCTTCGTCATGCCTGGAGCTGATCCGTGCTGGTCGCTGAGGAAATACAACAACTGCGCTGTGGATCGCCGGATCGGCTTTCACCATGGACGAAGCGGAGTCCAGCCCGGGGTCATAACGTGGTTGCCGCAAGCCTCCTTCGTCGAATCCGCTGGCCGCGCCATTCTCAAGCCCGCCGCCTCTGCTCACTCTAGCCCTCTAGCCATTCCTCACTCTAGCCCCCGGCCGCCGCTCACTCTAGGCCGTAAGCAAACGCAACTACTTGAACACACAACTGACACATAACATGGGCCTTCACTGTTCCCTCTGTCTACAATTGCACTTATGGCAATTGTAGAAAGTGAGATGACACAAACGGTTTCCTTTATGTTTAGCCTCTGGTCTTTAGTTAACTCGTTCCCCAATTTCTGATTAGGTGGGCATGCATGAGAAATATTTAGACTCAGAACCAAACCATAATCCATACCAACAAAAGACAATAGTTTATTTAACTTTAACTGATATTAAGTGTGCGCTGCAAATGTGAGCATTTTTGATGTTCGTTTCTGTCCAGTCCGCTCATTTTACGATTTAACCACAGCTTTCGTCATTTTGTTGTCTGGCAATGGCAGCAGGTATGCGATAAAATCATGTACTCCATCGATTCTGACACTTAAAGATAATATTTTAAGCTCCTTATGTAGCTGACTCTGTGCTCATTTGTATTGGCCGCCTCCAGTTATCCCTTTGTTTTGCCTCTAGATAATGCTGTGACGTAATTGTGACGTCGGCACTAAAAAGGTCTATAGGAAAGACAAAATGAAAATGACATCTAAGCTTTTCTAAAGAGAGTCAGTTCCGTTCAAAGATGCTTTTATATAAAAACACCCGCACCACGTTTTGATTTTTAAACATGCATTGCTCATGTTTATTCAACAAAGTCAAAGCCTTTTGGAAAATCTATTTGTGGTGGTCAGTTTTGGAAAATTAAAGGGTGGTGAAAATGGGGTTGAATAAACATATGTGACAGAAACTAAGGATATTTGTACACTACTTGAAATGCTAGATAATTGTTTAGAGGTTGGTGAAATCCCTCAGAACCAGGATATTAGATGGTCCGCAATTTTTTGTTGTATTGTTGATGTGGTGCACTAACTGAAAAAGTTTGAGACCAGCAAACAGCTAATGCTAACCCTGTAAAATTAGAAGAGTGCATTTCTTAAAGTACTGTCAAACGCAAAATGATAAGACAGTCTGTGCAAAATGATTTGTAGCACAACAGTAAAACACAGACAGACTGTAATTCTTGTACCGAAAAAGACATCTAACTTACCCCTCTTTTTGTGAAACCACATATCCATCCAGCACCTTCAAACTGAGACACCAGCTCACCACATACGGGCGATAATCACAGCCGGGCAGAGACGGTGTGGCCATGACGCATGGGTTACTCATGATGGACAGCTGCTCTAGGCTGTGAAATGGAGCTAAATATGACACCTGGAAGTGAGATACACAAAGAAAAAAACATTAAACAGTAACATCTACAAAACAAAATAAATGTATAGGGCTATTTATTTAAACTTTTAATCTACATAATTATAATTAAATAATAATGAATTACATTTTACAGTACAGCACTTCTGAGGAGAAAAGCCTTCAAAATGAAGATAATTCAAAGACATGACATCTAAAAGTACTGAACAAACACAAAGTGGCCAATATACTAGTGAATATGAATTGGTCACTGGTCTACGGTCCACATCAATCTCTTTCTGAAATAAATTTAAGAGTTGTTCAAACAGGTTGCTGTTGTATTGCATCTGTGCTATTTTCATAATGGTGGTCTGTGTAGATGTGCAGACTTTTGGCCATTCATTGTTTTTTAGTATTTCTTGTGTCACGATTTACATTTTTCAGACGTTGTGTTAAAATCCGAACGCATTCTGTGTGATCACTCTCCAGGGCTTAACAAAAGGTCCGGCAACCAAGTGAGATGTTGACATAACTTTTACTTGCTCTATTGTTTGTCACTGTACCTTGCATTTATTAATCATGTGTATGCCATGCAAACTTAAACATCTGATACTGTGTGATGAACACTGATATTGAGAATTATTCTAAATGAAATACATCACATAATGTAATCTAGATTTTGTTTAAAGGGGTCATATGATGCGATTTCAATTTTTCCTTTCTCTTTGGAGTATTACAAGCTCTTGGTGCATAAAGAAGATCTGTAAAGTTGCAAAGACTAAAGTCTCAAATCCAAAGAGATATTCTTTATAAAAGTTAAGAGTCAGCCACACCTACCTAAAACAGCTCGTTCTAACACGCCCCCACATATCTACATCACTATGTGGGAAGATTTGCATAACGCAGACCAAATGTTCACACAAAGTAAGAAGGTGCAACTTTTATTCTCGCTGTAGTATTGTTGTTGCACCACCATGTAGTGAAGGCGCTGTGTGTTCCGTTGTGAACGCGAAACTACTTTGTTTGGCCTTCCAAAAGAGGACGATATCTGCTTCGTCATGCCTGGAGCTGATCCGTGCTGGTCGCTGAGGAAATACAACAACTGCGCTGTGGATCGCCGGATCGGCTTTCACCATGGACGAAGCGGAGTCCAGCCCGGGGTCATAACGTGGTTGCCGCAAGCCTCCTTCGTCGAATCCGCTGGCCGCGCCATTCTCAAGCCCGCCGCCTCTGCTCACTCTAGCCCTCTAGCCATTCCTCACTCTAGCCCCCGGCCGCCGCTCACTCTAGGCCGCCGTGTGTGATGCTGTGTTTCGTTGTGAAAGCGAAACTACTTTGTCTGGCTTTCCAAAAATGGACCCGACTAGAAATCAGTGGTTAAGTTGTATTTACAACACTGTTCCAGAACACTTCAACCCAAATATTCAGATGTGTGCAGCACATTTTATGAAGGACTGTTTACTGATCCTGGTAGAGTAGACTACAATGCCGGCTGTTCTGACTCACAGATTGTAAGTACGTTTTTTATATTTAAAGAGTTTTTATATTTTATATTTTTTTATATTTAAAGCGTTTTTTTGGGCAGTGTAGAGTAGGGCTTGTTGTTTGTCATTTCTCCGATCACAAAGGCAGACATGGTTTAATGTTACGCGGCGCGATGCAACGCAACACGTAAAAAGACAGTATAAGTCATTATAATCCATAATTATGTCCCCACTGGATGCAACGCATGCCTCGTTTAATGAGTTTTCATGTTTTTGAATCATCGCTCCGGCCTGACAGGGCATCATCACAATATGGTAGGGGCGTAACATTTCCGTCTCACGCTTGAGGTATTCGGCCAATCACAACGCACTGGATAGCTGGCCAATCACAGCACACCTTATTTTTCAGACCGATTAGCTTTGTAAAAATCAATGCGTTTCAGAAAGGCGGGGCATAGAGGAGAAACAATAATGTACAGTATGTGGAAAATAATGTGTTTTTTGAACCTTAAACCGCATAAACATTTCATTACACCAAATACACAAAATAATGTTCTTTTTAGCAACAAATATGACCCCTTTAAACTGCAAGACTGGCATTCATAGTATCAGTTAATGTGAGTAACATTAATCCATAATGTTTTTCCTCATATGGTACTGTTTTCCAGCAAATGTCCATTTATAAATAAATTCAACTGTATAACAGTTTCACTGTAATTCATGTTATAATGTTAGAATGAAATAACAATAAAAAATAATACATATGCACTTATTTGTACATAGTAAATGCAATTATTTTTAAGCAGTTGTTGACATCCTATCTAAAACATGATTTAGCCAAAAAAAACACTACCACTAATATGTCTTGCAATATCAGTGCGTGCAAAGGTTCTGCGCGATCCTCTTGTTCAATATGCTCTGGGTCTGAATCAGGCTCAAATTGATATGGCAATATTGACTCCATCCTTAACTAAACCGGAGCAGATGGAACTTGCTGCTTTGGCAAGGGGCGTGGCAGTACTGAAACACCATCTAAGCTGTTCGCCAATCACAACGCACTGGGACAGCTAACCAATCACATCACATTTCATTTTTCGGAAGGCGGGCTTTCATCAAACCCGGAACTAATCAAGCCGTTTCTGCTAGGATGGGGAGAATGTAAATTATGTAAAAAAAAATCACCAAGCATGAGAGCATGTTCTAATACACCCCCAAAACAAATTCAAGACACTGTAAAAGAGCATAATAGGACCCCTTTAAAAATTAAAAGAAGCAGGTTTTTGTGATCGTTAAGGGAAACTCCTGGAAAGTCCAAGGATCCAGTAAGCGAATTCAAACAGTTGGACAAAACAGCACTAATGCAATGAAAAACACGGCCAATTTCATCAGAGATTGTGGAGAGAATAGTGACTCACGTCCAGATGTCAGTAAATTACTATTTTCATTGTGTATTTGGATTAAAAGCAAGAATGTTTTAGAATGAACGCTGGCTGGCTGAGGTGTTATGTGGTGGAAAGAAGTTTAGCGATTCTGAATGTATCCAGTGGAGGTTTAGGGGTCTTTGGCGTCTCCCTGTGGTCCTGTTTGGTATCGCACCTTGACTTGTGGTTATTTGTATTGAAAACGTTTGTTTAATTACTGATTGATTGTGGCACTATACATTGCCTACATTGTGAATTATGTAGAAAAACAGAAAAATAAAAAAAAGGTTGTGGTGGGGGGGGGGGGGTACCGGCACTGGCACTTCTTTTTTTCCACTTCAAGCACTGTACTTCAGAAATATAAAGGTGGTAGCTTAAATTGCTCGTGAAAATAACATTTTAAACAAATTTTTTAAAATGTACACAAATGGTCATGATTAATCATGATTTTAAAATACTATTTAGTAAACTAAAAATTCACACTAAATAAATGAAACATGAAATGGAAGTTGTGATCATCTTTTCTTCCGTATTGTTATATATCCAAGTAAAAAGGCTTCTTGAACAAGAAAAAAAATGTAGGGTGGGAGCTGAATTTGTCCAATAGGGAATTTATTTGGATTGTTGTAATTTGACAATTGCTACAATGTCATGTGAGTAACAGCTTGTACCCATGGGCGTAGCTTGTGGGGGGGGGGGGCAGGGCCATATAATGTAGTTAATAATACATGTAAACGTTAACACATTTTAAATTGTTATTGTAAGTAAATTAATAAATCAAAACAAACTTAACGTCTCCCTCAATCTCATTTGCGTAAGAATTGTCACGTGACGAATCTGCATTTTGGTGGATAATAGACTTAACGGTAATGCTTGCCTGTTGTGTGGAATAAAATGATGTCCCGCATTTTTAACAACATACACGAACTGCAGAGAAATCCGGAGACAACGAAAAACGAAAAAAGGTGAAGATATTAATGTCGTGCTTGATGATTCCGGACCCGGACATTCAGATAAAGGTGACCCGGACATTCAGATAAAGGTGATCCACAGGACGCAGCCGGTTTAGTCTATTCAGTAAGACTAAATAAAAAGTGTGCGCCTCATTGTGCATTAACTTGAATCAAGCCCAACAAATGTCTGTTTTAAAAACAGTGGATGAGTAATTCACTCCTTGATTGTTTTGAGTAATTCACTCCTTGATTGTTTTGAGTAATTCACTCCTTGATTGTTTTGATGTTTATTGTGCATTTTAAACGTGTTTATTGCTAATGTGGCAAAATAGAAGCGCAGCTGTAATTCGTGGGCAATGTATGTGGTTACCATGACAACCTCACGCACTTGCCACTGCTCTATGTGAATGTGAATATGTACCGGTTCGGTTCGGTTTGCCCCCCCCCAAGCTCAAACGTCAAGCTACGCCTATGCTTGTACCGCACTTGCACCAGCGCACGTCATCAGAGAAGAGAAGAGATGCAAGTGGGAAGTTATTTTGATTAAAGATTATGAGGGCACATGAATGTAAAAAATTGATGTGCACAGACAATATTCCATAAAAAAACTAAGAACTGTCAATTTAGATTTTATGATTGGTGACTAACTTGTGTAATTGACAATGATAATAATTAATGCATAGCAGAAATGACGCAAAACAATACATTAACAAAAACAAGTTTTCTGAGGTTTGTGTCGCTAGTATAATTGTTAGCACAATTGTTATTAAGTTGTTTGCATTGTCTTTCTGTTGCACTTTACCTCAGTCAGGTCTCTGATCTCATTCGCTGCTAGCGACAGGACAGTTAGGTTCGTTGGCAGGTGGGCAGGAACAGTACGTAGAGTCGTGATGATGTTTCCATGCAGAAGAAGAGTCTGAATAGGGTGAGACAGATCTTAAATATCAGTTACAGAATTACAGTTTTTTTCTGTATGTTGGGACAGTAATCTTATAAATTATTCCTCTTAACACATTATGAGAGATTTACAAATGATTTGTCTTTCAAGACAAATGGCAAATACCTTTAACGCTGAGAGCTTTGTGAGGTCTCCTATGTGAGAAATATTATTATCGGACATATCAAGATGTTGAAGGGAAGCACAATTGTTGAGCTGCTCAATGACCTGGACAAACAAAGACAGATGTGACACTGATTCAGATGAGGCCAGGAAACATTTTCAGCCTAATTTTCAATTAAATACATGGTAAATGCATGTACTGTGAAAAACACCTTTATGTTGTTTCCAGCTAGATTGAGCCATTCCAGATGAACCAGGTCCTTCAGTCCCTCAATATATCCGATACTGTTGTTTGGGAGATTCAGAGTTCGTAAGTGAATCAGCTTTGAGACACCCATCATGCGTACCAGACGGTTGCAGGCCGCAGACAGCTGTTAACAGACAGTAGGTTACAGACACTTCACAGAAAACACTTATACTAATGATAGGTGTAAGTTGTGGTGTGGTTGTTGGTGTGAATTAGGGTTGGGCCGATAGACGATGCCATCGTCCATCTCCAATGGCTGACAGACAACACAATGTTAAGCTGACATCGTGAAAACCCCCACCCTACCCCACCCGCAATCCGCCGCATCCCAGTTCCGGAAATTAAGTGCACTACGGAAACCCTAAAGGGAATAAACAGCCTACGAGATGGGAGAATAAAAAAAAATATTTCAATACTTTTTCTCGCAATGATATCATTGGGTAAGTATAGGCGACTGTATAAAAATTGCGGGCATCAGGGAGCCGCTATTGAAACCGCTTTCGATTGCGCGCTCTTATTTTACTTTCACTTTCACTTTCGAGATTTGCAACAAAAGTGAACCTCATCGTCCATCACGATGTTTCACTGTAGACATAGTCCAATGCAAATTTGGTAGACATCGCCCAACCCTAGTGTGAATCCAACATACCTGCTGAAGAACTTGATTACGCTCCAGGTGCTCCAGCTTAATAATGTGGTTTTGGTCCAGAATAAGAGTGTGTGACTCCACGTGACTGAAAATCTTCGGATTCAGTTTGTGGAGACTCTGATTGGAAAGGTCTAATAAACCTGGATCTGAATAATAACAGCAAAGGACAAAACACAAATACGCTACATGAACAAGAGATATCTGCACTTACAACACACTTTAAATGTAAAAGAATTATTCCAAAGCCAAAAGAAGAGTCAAACAAAATGGACAGAGGTTTATTAAAATCAGTTGAGGAGAACCCCCACCCCTTCCCCTCCCCTGATTGTAAAGCGCTTTGGGTGTACAGCAATACACAATAAAGCGCTATATAAATGCATCATTCATTCAGTTATTCGCCCTTCTGTGTATTAACTCAAATCTGCTGTTGTCGACTAGAACCTGGATCTGAGCTTCTCTTGACAGAAGAATAACGCGCATCCACAGATTCCAGTACGAAAAAACCCCATACTAACAGATCAGGTCTTATAAACAGCAGATATGTAAATGAAATCGTGTCAGCTAATCAGTGATATAACAGCAGATTTCTGCACATTATGACAAAAACAGATCAGATGTCAAGTTCGTCACGAGCTCTACACGCTGCATGTTACAAATGATATTCCACACACACAACGGCAACATGGTGTCTGTCTGCAAATGAAATACTGCAGTGTAAGATGTCCATCAAATCAATCGTTTGGAATAATCGGTTTTATTTAGCATACCTTCGTAATTTGACATCTGGAGCAACGGATCAACGACGATCTCTCCGTCAGCCGCCGCCATACTTCCCGCTTGTGTCACCGCCAGGCAACCGATCGTCTATTTGATTGGATAAAATAATATGGGCATAATAATAATTTTAGATATTTTTATAAGAACGCTGGTTATATTCTTATATCAAGTCTATGTTTAGCTTGAAAAAATAGTTTGCATTTGGAAAACAAGCTCTGTTATAACCCGCTTACCCATAATTCCTTTTCCTCTTCCCCATCTGAAACGCCGCCATGAAGTGAGTGTAGTCTGTGTTCATCAATAAACATCTTAAAAGTTATCTGGGGAAAGCGCTTGTAAAAGTGTTCACGTGCTAATAATAAATATGATGTATTTATAATAACTCTTATTTTTGATGTGTAGGGTCGAGCTGTGCAGTTTTAGTGGATATAAAATTTATCCCGGCCATGGCCGGCGGTACGCCAGGATCGACGGAAAGGTAAATGCTCAAACTATAGGTGTATTTGATTGTACTGTAGCGTTTTATTCCGTGTTGATCGATGTATAGTTCCTAGCATGTTGTGATGTGAACATTTATGTCCGGCAATCTTCCGTTTGGTTATTTACGGGGGCAGTCGTGGCCTAATATAGTTAGGGGAGGGAGTGAATGTACTGCGCTCTCTTCCACCTTCAATACCACGACTGAGCAAAGGCACCGAACCCTCAACTGCTCCCCGGGCGCCACAGCTAAAATGGCTGCCCACATCTCCGGGTGTTTGTTCACTACTCTTTTTTTCTTTCTTCTTTTTTTTCTGCTTTATTTAGTGACAATTCACATACAAATTGACAATAAAAGCAAAAATGTCAATAAATTCAAAGAAACAATGATTGTAAAAAAAAAAAGCAAATTATGGAAGAAAAAAGAGAAAACAACAAATACAAAAAATATGAACTATATATAGAGGGGTATTGAGAACAAATCCATATCTCTTAACTACAAAATAAGTGCAAAAGGCCTTAAAAAGGATAAAGTTTCAAGGCTTTACAGCAATCTATAGTCTTTTTTGCTTTAGAGTTCCTTACATCTTCCATCACTTTAAGATACTGACAGCTCAAATTTAAAAGGTAAAAAACTAGGTGTACTCTTTGACCATGGACATTTATGAATGTGATATTTCCCTAATATAATAAACAAATTAAGAACTAAATATAATTTCTTCTCTAAAGGCTTATCATAATAAAATAAAACTTCTTATCTTTGTTTGTTCACTACTCACTGCTGTGTGTCTACTTGGATGGGTTAAACGCAGAGCACTAATTCCAAGTATGGGACACCATACTTTGCTACACATCACATCATTGTCACTTTCAATTTAGTGCTGGCCTGTTGGCTAACTACAGTCCTAACCAGAGTAAATGATTGGATAGTGATTGTGAATCCTGTGCATTTAGTTTAAGCTCATGTTTGAAACCAAAACAGTGGGGGTTACAATGGTGTAAGAAACATGTTTTTTTTTTTTTGTGTTCTAGTCTAAGATGATATTAATTTGACTGTATGAACTGAATAAATCTAACATCAGTGTGGTTTTATTAGTGGATTAATGGTGTTGCTTCATGTAAATCCTCTTCTTCTGCAGGTTTTCCAGTTCCTGAATGCTAAATGTGAGTCTGCTTTCCTGTCCAAGAGGAACCCCAGACAGATCAACTGGACCGTTCTGTACCGGCGTAAACACAAGAAGGGCCAGTCTGTGAGTTTGACCAATACACGCTTCTCTAACCCTTCAGAATAGAGTCACATGCTGCATCCTGTCAGGAGTGTTCAGTTACTGACAGTGTTTTTCTGTATAATGGTACCTTGTCTCTAATGATACAATTTTAGAGCTTTAGAGACAAACGGGTAAATATTTAATGAATACAGTGGTGATTCTCAGATCAATTAACAGCTTTCAGCCACTCATTCAGATGTAATTTTTATTCTTTCCACCAACAACATGTGCAGGATTGTGGGACATAATAGGCAATGCAGGAAACATCTATGAGCCCTCAATAACTTCCTAGATGAAGACATCTCAAACTGATATGTGACTGAAATTGAATTGGGACATGGCTTGATTACTTAACTTTGAAGACAATGGTTTTTCAGCTTTTGAAGTGCAGCCACGGATGTTTTGTGTGTGTAATGCATGTTGAGTGAGTGACTGGAAATCATGCTTCAAGGTTTTTCCTGGGTCAAACATGGTTTTCGGTGGTGGCTGACGGCCATCCACACTCGCAGTATAAAGTGTCCTACCCACGTGATCTGCGAACCCAATACTGACAATACATTTTAAATAAATACAAAGAAACAGTTTGTAATTTTTTTTTTTTTTAATAATTTTTTTTACTTCTACTTATTAAATAAAAAACAATCACTTGTTGATAAAACAAACTGCTTACAACTATTTAACATGTGAACGTCACCATTAACAAAGTAGTTAGAAGAAAAAAAAAAAGAATTGGTCATTGTTTACACTTGGTTGCTTGGTTTATTTTTTTTTTTGGCCAGACCGTAGCTTAGAATTATTCAGTTTTACAAACCTCTTCCAAATTAGGCTCTCACTGTCATCCTTTCTTGCTCTCTTTGCAAAAAAGTTGTGATTTTTCCACTGGCCTTCATAGCTTTGTAAGAATATAATTTCTTATCCTGATAATTATTTTGGTATATAATCATCAATAAATATTAAAGAGTATCATAAAAAACGTAGCATTGAAAAATTAAACTAATAGTCTAATTTTCTACCATATACAATTGAATAAAATTAGCATCTAGCTAACAGCAACTTGCTTTGTGCATTGGTCTGGTTTCACCTCCAGTCTAAATGAATTGATTTTATAGGTAATTTACTACGCATTGTCATATAAATAACATGAAAATACTGTGGATTATTAAGGCTAAATCGAACTAACCACTCTTGCTATGTAAACACACTTACTTCCGAGGTTTTCGGAGTAAATTATTTGTTATACACCGATTCAGACAGTGATGTCTCGTGAGTTCAGTGTTGAATAGATCAGGGTTTTTTTTTAACCATTCATTAAAATGAATCGGTTCAGGAGTCATTAGGTCGTGAATCGGACATTTGAAAATATTTGTCAACACCGAAAACACTTAATCACTGGATAGGATTTTTTTATTTATTTATTTTTTTAAGTGGTTTGTCAGCTGCATGTGTGGAATGCTTGTTGGAGAAGATAAGGTTTTTTGAGCGTAATTCCCACCGAGTGGTAATTCAGGAGAAAGAATTATCCAAATGCACCACATGAAACAAGGTTTCGCTCTTCCGACCTTTAACCATCATGTTAGTTGATTTTTATTAATATGTCCGAGGGAGGGAGAGGAAAGAGTGGTTAGTTTGAAGACTGAGAGAGTGCATGGGGAGGGGCTCTCTGCTCTTTCTTTTCCTCTGTTAACATGCACGCTATCACAAGTGCAGCAGTCATTTACATCACTCATAAATCACATTAAATTGAATTAGGAAATTTCCAATGTCTTTTTGCTTCTTTAGGAAGAGGTGGCTAAGAAGCGCTCCCGTCGTGCAGTGAAGTTCCAGCGGGCCATCACTGGTGCCTCACTGGCTGAGATTCTGGCCAAGAGGAACCAGAAGCCTGAAGTGCGTAAAGCGCAGAGGGAGCAGGCCATCAGGTGATCACCTCAATTTTTCTGTGCCCTTCCTTTCTTTGAGGACCCTGGGCCTCCAGGGTACAATTTTTTTGTTCCTAAACCTTTTCAGTACAATGACCTTAATGCTTTTAATTCACTTTAAAGATTTTTCAAATGTAATAGCTGTTTACAGTTAATTTTGTAACACTCTTCAGACGTCATTGTGGGGTCATGTATGAATAAGTCACTAAAGTGTAATGGTTTTTGACTGTAGATTATTAAGTTATTAAATTTATTTTAGAAGACCTTCAATTCTTAAAATTATTTGTCTTAAACAGGGTTGTAACTGGTTAACACATTGAGACCGGTGCAACAAAAACTGAACATTTCCTTTCTAACTGTATTTTTGATCTGATCTTTCAGAGCTGCAAAGGAGGCCAAGAAAGCAAAGCAGGCAACTAAGAAACAACCCACACAGAGCACCAAGGTAAGATGAGGGTTTGTAAAAAAAAAACTCAAAACCATAAGTCTATGAGCTAGGTGTGATTGTTGTTTGCCCCTTGAGGCGTTGCAGTGTGACTGATTCTGTCGCTTCTGTGTCATAAGGTGGCATAGAGTAGAAGGACTAAGTCTACATCTAGTACCCTTTTAATAATGGGTGCTCAGTGTCATTTATAGTCCTACACATGATTGCAAACTAAATATAAATCCTTGTTTGAATGCCTTTCATATAGTCAGTAAAATGTTTGTGTTTTTTTAGGCCCCTGTTAAAGCTGCATCCAAACAGAAAATTGCCAAGACCATGAAGGTCAGCGCTCCTCGTGTTGGTGGCAAGCGCTAAGTTCATGTTTTGTGTATTAATAAAAGTTTCACTATCAACCTTGAGTTCTTGAAGTATTGATTTCATTCATGTTTAGTGATAATCCGTGACCTTGTTTACCTAAAATCACTTTGTGTGTGCTGATTTAAAGGGGACATCGGATTCCCATTTTCCACAAGTTGGTATGATTCTTTAGCGTCTTCATGAAGTGTCAGTAACATAATTTGGTTAAAATTCCTCAGTTTTCGTGTAAAACAACACCCTTTTTTTACTTTATCGAAAACAGCTCTGTTCACAGCGAGCCGTTTCGGTGCTTTTTCTGTGTTTTTTTAAAGGGGTCATATGATGCGATTTCAATTTTTCCTTTCTCTGGAGTGTTACAAGCTCTTAGTGCATAAAGAAGATCTGTAAAGTTGCAAAGACTAAAGTCCCAAATCCAAAGAGATATTCTTTATAAAAGTTAAGAGTCAGCCACACCTACCTAAAACGGCTCGTTCTAACACGCCCCCACATGTCTACGTCACGATGTGGGAAGATTTGCATAACACCGCCTAAATGTTCACGCAAAGAAAGGCGGCGTAACTTTTATTCTCGCTGTAGTATTGTTGCTGCCACCATGTCTTGAAGGTGCTATATTTCGTGAATCAAAACTACTTTGTTTGGCCTTCCAAAAGAGGACGATAACCCCTTCGTCATGCCTGGAGCTGATCCGTGCTGGTCGCTGAGGAAATACATCAACTTCACGCTGTCGATCGCCGGATCGGCTTTCACCGTGGATGAAGCAGAGTCCAGGCCGAGGTCATGTTTTTGAGTCATCGCTCCGGCCTGACAGGGCATCATCAC